ACGTCGCAGCCTGATACTGCCCCAAAGTTTCGCCCCGCAGAGCAAAAACCGGCTGTTCGCGTGCTCTACACAGACGTGGCCGCGACTGAACAGGCTGTTTCATACCTGGGGGAAATCACGGAGCGCCCAGCTGGCATCGCGCGCCGGCCACAGCTTACGCGTGCGCAGACACTTCAAGGGTGTAGAGCTGAACCGCGCCGTCCGCATTGTCAGTCAGCGCACAAGCGGGAGCTGGACCAATACTCAGCACTAATCATTTTCAGGAGATAATCTGCACCGCAAGATGGGATACGAAGAAACAAAGAACGACAAACTCGCGCGGGCTTTCTTTTTTCGTGTCCCGTCTTGCGGCATGGCTTTTTTTCAGATGTTCCCGTACCGTTAACTTGCCCAGCTTTCAACGCTTGTCGACACTAAACATTCTGCAATGCCACCTCCCAGCCCTTATTCGTGTTAATGGGGCACTAGAAACAGTATTTAACAGCAAAACTTGTTTTCTCTATCGAAACATTATGGTACTGTGTGCGTTCACGAATGTTTCTTCATTATGAGGAAGACGCAATAATGAGCATGCACCATGCGCGGTCTTTGCATGTCACTTTATATAAAACAAAGCACCTGCAGTGGTGACTACTGAGCAGTTGAGCGTGTTTAACGACACAAAAACGAATGCATTCATGAATGATTTAGGATAGAACAACCACCTGGACGTGCTTATTCTCGACGATATTTGATCGCCACCGAAGGGACTCGCGGTGCCAAAATGCACTCGTGACGCTTCCAAGTGCATGACCCCAGCGGTAGCGACGATAACGCTCATTCTAGACGGCAGTAAATGTATGGTGTCAACCCGCCGCGGTGGTCTAGTGGCTAAGGTACTCGGCTGCTAACCCCCAGGTCGCGGGTTTGAATCCCGGCTGCCGCGGCTGCATTTCCGATGGTGGCGAAAATGTTGTAGGCCCGTGTGCTCAGATTTTGGTGCACGTCAAAGAACCCCAGGTGGTCGAAATTTCCGGAGCCCTCCACTACGGCGTCTCAAATAAACATATGATGGTTTCGGGACGTTAAACCCCACATATCAATCAATATATGGTGTGTTCGGCCGCAGCACGTCGCCTTCGTTGACAATACGGGCGTACAAGATCCGGATTGAGCTGAATAAAACGGTGGCTTGTCTGCCTTACGTTTTTCAGTCTTTTTTTCGGAAAACAGCAGTGCTGTGTTTGCCTGGTTTACCATGCCCCGTATACCAAGAAAAGAGCGACTTGAACTCTCTTGTAAAAAAATATATATATATTTAGAAGCTGGCTAGCGAGTCTTGTGGTAATCAAATGTGCTCGTAATGAGACACGTTCCGGCTTTTTCCTCAACTAAAATATTACTGAGTTTGTCCTTATTTGTTTTATTGTGTTAAGCCATTGCTGCAGCGCAACTCTTACTGTTGAGTGTTTTTTTTTATTGAAGTCAAATCAAGTGAACGCACTTTGCGTACTAATTGTCACGTCTTACTCGTCCAAGGGTACTGTGGTGCACACACACAGAAATATTTATGAACGCACACAGCACCACGGCGTTTTGAGGGAGCAAACGGGGTATGCTGTCAAATTGTGGTTCTCAAATGAAGGCTTAGGGGTTAGTGTGGCACGACGTGTAATGCAGATTATCGGCCCAGTTCCTGCACTAACAACAATATCCGCGCGCTGGGCAGCAATGCGGCAAGCAAGAGCCGCCGTAACAAACGACGGGGTTAAAAACTACATCTTGAATTATCTGCGCACGCGCGAGCTGCTGATAGCGTGTAGTTGCAGCGTTGGCCGCATCACTACAATGGCTAGAGTAGCATCATGGTGCCACGCACTTCGAGATTTTCCCTAAGTGTGAAACAGCCTGTACAGAGTTTGCTCGAATTACCGCCAATAGTCGCGTCACAGAAAAAGCTAATGTCTGTGCCCCCCCCCCCCCCCCTTTCTGAAAAAAAAAAATTTGGCTACACCCCTGACAGCTCATGATTACTGAACTGGACTGATTGATTGTGGGGTTTAACGTCCCAAAACCACCATATGATTATGAGAGACTTCGTAGTGAACTGGACGGAAAGCAGGCGAGTAGAATAAAAGTGACGGTTGCAACAGCCTAAACTAATGTGCAACAGGATCGGCCATGGTTTCGGCAGAGAACAGAGCTTTGCGATAGGTGGCGAAACGAAGTTGTTAAAGAATATGTTATAAGTAGCCATTCTCTGCCCATCATCGTTCATAGAAAATATCAATAATCACTTTTTATGTTAAATCTTTGGCTTCTATGTTTTGTGTTTATAATTACCCACCCCTTATGCTATACCCCCTCGCGGGTCTTTAAGGAAATAAAATGAAATTAAATATATCACATGCAGGTCGCAACCATGTTGCCGAACAATAACTTTATAGAACAATACATTTGGCAAGCATTAATTTTTCATCTCTCATAAGGGATTTACAGCGTCAGTTTTTATGAGAGGGAACACGGGAGCACGTGACCTGCATGCTCGCTCTGGCGGCTGCTGGCAGCGTGTTCAAGCGGGAGCGATAGCAACCGCAGCCTTTTTTGAAGATTACACCCTTCAAGGTGATTACCGGCTCTTGCGTAATCGCCTTTATGGGGAAGGGGGTTGCAATCTTGCCAGCGGTTCCATATCAGCAATGACGGCTTATTTTGCTCGCCCCGAGATGACGCGAGAAGAGACTATGGTTGCAATCGCTCCCGTTTGAGCACGCTGCCAGCAGCCGCCGGAGCATGCAGGCCACGCGCTCTCGTGTTCCCTTTCATAAAAATTGACACTGTACATATCTTACCGGTATGGAACAGAAACCTGGAGGCTAAGAGGGTCCATCTTAAGTTGAGGGCGACTCAGCAAGCGATTGAACGAAAAATGAGAAGGGTAGTCTTATGTATGAGACAAGAGAATAGAGCGAGCCAGTTCAACGGGGACGTTAAGGTCATCATTGTTGAAATTACGGAGGAAGGAAAGTTAAGAGAGGGCATGCCCAGCCGGCGCGCTGCGTGAAAAGTGTGGCGAAAATGACTTCATGGCGGCCATATTCACTGGGCACAATGGCGGCGTTGCTATGGTTACGTGTTGCGCAGTGGAGCTGGTCTAGCAGTGAGCGGCCACGGCTGGCGGCGGCATGTGTGCCTCCCGAGGTCTCGTGCTGAACCGTGGCGGACAATATCCGTGCTCTACGCCACGTTATTGGTTACGCAGTGTTCTCCTGGCAGTTACTGTACTCTTAGCAACGTTTACAAATCCCTTTGTCCATCACTGGGTTTCAACAGTGCATAGAACGAGTGCATATCCATGTGACGTGCGGCAGATGACGTGGATGAAGCAGTTAGTGTTCAGAGAAATTGCGTTGGGCACCATGACGAAGCTGAACGACGACGAACGCCTTGAGGTCAGTGACGGTTGGGCAGTGCTCCTGCTTGTGACAACGGACGAGGCTGTTGAGCCCGGCAAGACGCAATGAGGACCATGTGCACATACGTAGTTTCGTGTGGCGTGTGTACAGTAACAACTTGCATGTACGTATTAAAACAACTTTTCTGTTCCGCTTCGTATACTCTCCCCCAGCATTGCACGTCATCTCAAAGTAACAGCAATCGCGTTCAAGTGTCACTTGGACCACGCTCAAAGTCACCATGGTCGCAGAATGCTGACGCCGGTGAGTTTCACGCGGAACACGGACACAGTGGGCGTACGCTGCGTCGGCCGCGTGGCGGAATGCAACCGTAGGAGGCGCACGACCGATCATGTTGTATGTACAGTGGCTGAATTAATCACGTGAAAACACTTGCCACTGTCAGTGCATCTAGCGCGCGTTCTCTTGTACTTGCTTCGTTGTCGGTGAGCTGTTACTCGCTGTTAATACTTGGACGAAATGATTTCGCCGAAGGTGTCGCGCTAGCTCAGAATGTTGAGCCCCGTTCCATTAGTTTCGGATCGCCACGACACGCTTGCTGCGCAGCTCACGTGCTTTCCGAGCCGGAGAGAAAGTCGTGCCTTCTGCTTTACATTCGGATGTAAACAAGAGAGGAGAATTTGCCCAGTCAATATGGCCGACTTCCGGCTTCATCGCTGCTTCATAACGAGTGATGTCAGGGCCTCTCCTACCTTTCCTTCCTCCGTGGTTGAAATCAAGAATAAATGGTCATGAGCGTGACACGTAGCTCGTAGGCAGGATAACCGCTGGTCATTGAGGGTAACTGCAGTGTCTACATTCTAAGAGAAGATGGTAGATGAAGACAGCACAAAGCACAGCTTTGCCCTTTGCCTTGCGCAGTGGGCGTAATCAGGCTGACGATGACTATAATGATGCTTTGTCAAATCGAGCTCCCAAAAGTTCCACCGCGGAACCACAGGTTGTACGGCACAAAGAGGGCGCAGCTGACTCTCTCTCACAGGGTCAGTCAATGCGTCCGAACGAGGTGTCTCAACTTGCCCAGCCGATAGGCCAACGAAAGCATGGGATCCAAAGGATGGGAAACAGCACAGGACGTGCGTTTAGGCGTAATGTTTATAAAACTAAACATAGTTTTAAGCGTTCTGATTTGCAGCGCCGGCATGTCGCGAGGCTTAATCTCGGTCCCAGTTTTGTCGGTTTTATGCGCTGATCTTCGCTATTTCCCATCTATGACTTAAATAGAATCCTCCGAGCTCTTAGTGCTCTAAATCGCTGCGATACGCCGAGAATTCTGAACGTGGCCAACGCTGCAGTGTGGTTTAAAGTCCCTAGAAATCGCGCCAGTTGCCGCGCGCCAACAACTTCAAGCGCTGTGTCGCAGTGCCATCTTTGTTAACAAACACTAGAAAACCGAGATCACCGCGCGTTAACGAACCGTTACAGTAACATGTTAGATTTTTATTGTTCATAAATTTACACAAGTGTTTGGGGTACGGCAGCCGTTTGCATGTCTTACGAAAATAAGTACGATGACGCGTTTGAGGTTCTAATAAACAAATCCAAACGGCAGACGAGGAAAAAAAAGGGAACGGTCCGCGCGCGGTTATCTGGCTGGCACGGTGCAGGGCAACGTCGCAACGAGAACAAGCAAGCAAGGGTCGCAGAGTCTCTTATTTACCACAGTCTGCTGTGGTCACTGTGGTACAACGTGTAATGTCCTAGTTGAAGATGACTAGTGCGAAAATATCCATCGCCAGCTGTTTAGTGCTGTAAGCCCAACCAAGTGAGTGCAGCTCGAGCAACTTCACCGGTAAACAACCCGTTAACATTTAACGCAGCTGGCCAACGCTACAAAAATGTTGCGGCCTTCTTTCATGTTTTCCTTTCTGATGGCTGTTACAACTGAACGATGCTTGAAGCAGCAAGTGCGGCCTTGTAATTAGGTTCGTCAAAAAGATATAAAGCTGAAGAGCAAACAGGGGAAAAAAATATAAAAGAGAGCCGTTGAGGCGGCGCAGCTTAGAGCAATAACGTAATTACGCAGTTTTTTGCTGCCTTGGCTGCCAGTACTTGCAGATAACCTGTGCCGCTGCAATAATTTCCTACTTTGATGCCGCATTTCTCCGTCTGGTTTCAGGAAACTGCAATGGAAATCGATAGCACCACTACAGGTGAGGCGAATCAGTATGCTTAATTTTGTGCCTCTCAACCATAGTAGTCATCGGTAACTCGTTCGTTAGTTCTCACTTTAGATGCTTCGTTTCGAGACGCAGACAAACTGACGTAGCTGCAGTCACAGGCGCGCCTTTGCAACTGTTTAACTGATGGGAACTACGTTCGTGCGAACTCCCAAAAATGTTGAAGTGTGCATATTCCAGTTCACAAGGTGCGCTTTCCGGAATCCTTGGATACGTTCGGGCACGACTCCAGCATACTGGTTCAGCCACTTAACGATGTTCACATCAACGTTCACCTCGGCTTTATTCAAGTAAGAACAACTGTTCGTATTCATCAAAGTTGTGTGTGCATTTGTAGAACAGTGCTGAAAAGGCGATCGCAAACGCTGTTTCCGTGTATAGATGTTATTAACTTTTTTACTATTTCTGATCAGTCGTGGCTAAATAAATTTTCTGTATAACATGTTGGCTGTACGTGGAAGGGTTTTTCTAATTAAGAACAATGTAAGGCACTTTATCACGTAGACCATAAGTGAAGCTGACGTGGTACATAATCAGGCTTGAAGTGATGTTTAACATGTTGCTCCTCCTATCACTACTCTAGTTCTTGTTCTTGTTCACCTATTGATACTAGTATTACTTTCATCAGGTGACCCCTTACTTGATGATACCCATCACATCAAATATCTGTTGCAAAATCTGTTGCTAATGTGTGCAAAATGGGAAACAAATTTCTAGCTATTTTTATCATGTAGATATAAGCAATTGAATCATTTTAAAAAAGTGCTCCATCTTGCTGAAATGATGATGCTACATATACAAATTTCTTTTTTATTCTCCAGCATTTTAAATGTGTTTGCCATCTTTATAGCATGCAGTGTCTTCAGTTGTTAAGAATGTTCTATAGAATTTTATGTCACTGACTGAAGATGTGAAAAGGACTATGAGCATAATCACATTATTATTGACCACCCATTATGTTTTAGTCTCTGCTCATAGAGACATTCTGTGTACACTTACGATGTTATGCATGCATAATTTTTGTTATTGCATTTTTTCTTTGCTATTTGTTAGTTATACATTGATTTCATTTTGGGATAGCCAGACCTAACAAAGCCAAGCTTTCTGTGTTTTGTCATCTAAATACAAAAGTTATATGCAAGTATGGATGGTATTTCTCTTGTGTTGCAGTGCAGTACCAAACAAGCTTCTGTGACTTATTTATGATAAATGTTAATTTTTGGCCTTATATTTTGCTGACTAACGTGTAGTTGAAACAGGCTTCATTAATATGTTGCAATGTGGCTGTAAAACAGGTAGTTTCCTGCATGTGCTAGCTATTAGCATCTATTATTTGCTGGAGTTTGTTGCAGTGACTTAAGATTTTAATTCCTAAACATTCAAAGCCTCACTTTAGTGAAAATTGTAGAAAAAGTGTGAGAGAGTTATAGTAGCGCCTATAATAAAATAAGAAACAAAATATAACAAAAAAGCACACAGGTACACAGTAGACACAAAGTAAAAAATGGTTAACCATAATTACAAAAAAGTGTATCTAATAGAAGTTGCACATGTCTTCTGTAGCATAAAGCCCAACACTGAAACCATTTTTCTATGGATAGATGTATAGACAAGGTGAATCCAACACACGATAGATTTCCTACTTACTAAGCTAGCAAGTGGAAATACTTGATTGATTTTCATTTCATCTTAAACAATTGCACTCTACCAGCTTCAAGCTGCATATAAAGCCCAACACTGAAACCATTTTTCTATGGATAGATGTATAGACAAGGTGAATCCAACACACGATAGATTTCCTACTTACTAAGCTAGCAAGTGGAAATACTTGATTGATTTTCATTTCATCTTAAACAATTGCACTCTACGAGCTTCAAGCTGCATATGGCTCTTGTTCCAGCTTTTTGCAAAATGCTATGCCACTCCATACTGTGGCCAGTCAGTGGCGCACTATAACAATAGTCTGTGTTATGTATAGGCATTTTATTTTTGCCAGTCGTGAATATAGAATCATTTTTTATCTATGACTGACAGTTCTTTACTTCTATGTTGCGGCAATGCAATTGATCAAAGCCATTTTGATGCAATTTTTGGAGCAGCTATAACCTTAAGTCGGAGCAATTACCGGTCCCACATTTTCGAACACAAAATTTTTTTCTCTAAGCTGGAGCAGTCGTATTATGTTTTACGAAATTAATATATGAAAACATGCGTGCATGTTTATATATAACTTCCCAGAAACAGAAATTAAACCCGCTGCTTTTGTTTTCTTGCGGACAGTGCCTAACTTTGTTAACGTGACCGCAGGTCATCTAGCATTTCCCCACTATACACTTCATGTTTGTGATTGAATTATGCTTTCCCTGGTGCCTGATGGTTTCGTTACAGTAGTGGGAATGCATGCTCCGTAAATTTCCATGATATTGTTGTTGCTTTTTCGATGGGGATGTACTATTCTGACGACATTCGTTCTTTCGCTACATGCCAGGTTTTTGTTGTGTGTTGAAGTACCTGCTTTTCTACTTCATTGATAGGATAATTAAGCCCCTGTATTGTGGGAAATTAACAAGCTACAGAGTTTAGTGATTTGTTGGTCCTTTGTGCCCACAGTGTTTTGTGTTCCACAAAACAAAATTACGGTAATGGAAAGCTCTGTATTTCAAGTGCTTTAGCATGAATGTTCTCCACAGTGGAGAAGCCAGACCTCATTGTTTACATGCCATGACTTTAATCTTTCTCATCTGATTGCTGTAGACCACTGCAACTGGTTGATAGTTGATAAATTGTGATGGTTGTATGATATTAATGTTTAACTGCTCTGTCTGAGCTCCTCTGGGAGTAAATTCATTTTTTTTTTTGTAATAATAAAAACTCCGGGATGGGAAAGCTGCCTACAATTGCTCCAACCTGCTACATTTTGTTGACGCTGATATACTCATGCTACTAATCAGCAGCATTGCTCCAAAGCTGCTGCGCATAGTGTGCGAGATTACCTGGCAATGCACTGCTTAATCTCGGAGGCTACCGCCAAGGGATTTTTCAACAACATCAGCTGACAGATAGGCTGCTGCTTTGATTTCTCGTGCATTCGTAGGCAGAGCCAATCCAGTGCTTGGGTTATGCTAGCCCATGTGCCCACTTGTGGCTGTAGTTGTGCGAGGCTTTGTCACTGTGTAGTGTCAGTAGTACTTGGTACCTAGTGGCAGTGTCATTTGAGCTAAGTGAAGTCGCGATTAATTTGCAGTTTTTGCCGTGCCCCGCTGCCTGTGATCCTTTCATTAAAGCTTGTATGGGTTGTACCTTAAGTGAACGCATGCATACACTGAATTTGATGCTTTATTTTATTGTATAATAAAGGCATTAAAATACTATCGTACATATATTTGTCATTTTTGCAACCTGCTACAAAACTGAGGGCAGCTGCTATAAATCCATAATTTTTTTCTGCTACAGAACCTGATATAGAACACTTTTGCCCATTCCCATCACTGTAAACTATAGCTTAGTGGTCTGTTCAAGCATACACAAACTGCTTGCCTTCAACATAATGCAATCAATCAAGTGAAAGACTGTCATCTTACAAAAACTTGTAACAGTACCATGTATGACTTTTATTCAACAATAATGTAATACCTTAGTGTGGACTATTAATAGTAGCAGGAGTCTTTACTTACGCAGTATGGTCTAGTTGGCCTTGTTGTGCAGGGGTGTGCACATTGCCAGAAACCTTAAGATCCATAATTACCAGCATAATTGATTTAATTGTTGGGTATTAAAGCATTGATGATAAATCTCTATTACAAGATGGCTGAGAACATGAGTGGGGCTATTTCTTTAGTTACAAGGGCGATCAGCTTGCACACTTCTATCATCTGGACTGGGCCTGTTTTGCCTTTTTAGTTGTAGACTGCTGGAGTAAATGTTCCCTACATTAACTTAAAAGTAGCAACACAGTTATTTATGTTGAACACCGACTGTCTTCTTCTCTGAAATACTGTGAGGCCCATATCTTGGTGCGAGCTTAGAGCAAATTATGAGCTTTTATGAAAATGTAGCAGTATGTAGCAGGTTTCACCTCTTGCTGCAGTTTGGTGCAGTTGACCCAGCTATCACATTGCTGACTTTGTAGTACAGTGCAATTTGAACATGTCACATTTTTCTGTGCCTAGAAATTGAGAACTAAAGTAACAGGTGCACCCAGTTGCCCTGAAACTAATTCACAGAGATGCTAAGCAAAAATACCATTTTGAACCTTCGTGCATGTTTATCTTCTGTCTACCACTTCTGCAATTCATCACACGTGTGTTTAACATTTACTTTTCAATTTATACATCAATTTGATCAGTCAGTAACTATCAGAACAAATATTTATTATCTTTACTGTCATATCATTTCATCATTGGAGGACTGAACTGGAATATTTGATCCATTATTGCACTATTTCAAACACTTAGTCCTCAACATATTTGTGGCTGTTTATGTTCAGGCTGGCTGTTTTATTAATGGTGTTCCATTCATATATTGCTGTGTTAAGTCGCAAATTTATACCTGGTTCCTGCTAGAGGGAAAGTCATTTACTGCTGCAGTGCTTAAAATGGCTAGGAATGTTCGTTGAACTTTGGTTAGTTGTCACCTCCACAGCTGTGGGTTGAAATTTTTCAGGTGAATCACAGATATGAAGTGCGATTCCAGTTTGACAGCCCTCCACATCTTGGTAGTCTTTCAGTAAGGACACAGGAGCCCCCAAACCTCAACCTTAGGGTGCTCGAGCTGAAGCCCGTAATCTCTTCAGGTGAGCTAACTTAATAGTTTATGCATTACACTCAAGTGTGTGGAGTGTCATTTGTCATTGAGCATTTGCTTGTTAAAATTGAAATCGATCACAGGTGATCGATGCTTTAAATTGTCAAATTCGGTATGTTGAACTTGTTTCTCAGGCACCTAGCACCTCTTAGCAGTTAATACAGCCAATTAAATTTTTGGAATCTATTTTAATTTGCCTGTTTTGGCAATATATAGTGTTTTTTGATGGGCCTTTGCTCGAACCAATGTGTTTTGTGTTGCTGGGAAAATGTGCTTGGCTGACCAACTTTAGAGAAATGCGTGCCAGTCGTGGTTATGCTTCAGTAACACCAAAGTTGTGTAATAAAAATAATCCTTGCAAGTCAAATATCAAATATTGGTATCAGCTTCGCAATGTGACAGTGTTGCACGGTAATAATTGCCTGAAATTGTGCCAGCTATTCACTAGAGGGCTGCTTTGGGTAGTCGGGAAAGTTTTGTTCTCCCAAAAATTATTTCTGAATACCCGCTGCATGTACAATGTGTGGAGGTGGCCTTTTCAACCAGTTTCCAGCAGCTTCAGTTTCACTTCTATATTAGACAGAAGGCCCAATTCAGTGTCGCTAGTTGCTCCCATGGTGTCATCACGTGCGTATGTGTTTGAATGTGCACTGCTCAAAACAATCTTTTTACCACTTCTAAATCGGGTGATGACAAGCTTTGAGTTTGAAAGTGGCGTCACCTCAGCTTGAAGCTGTGATGGCGACGATGTTTTTGTCCGCTTGGAACATCTGCTGCCATTCCATTCAGGGGTTGATTTTGTTTATGGCCTTAAAGGAGCACTGACATCAAATTTACTTATGTCAAGATTTTTGTGTCAACGAGTAGCTATGGACCCCCTAGTAGCAATTCCCGACCTGTAACACATCTGAGTGACGAATGAGTATCTGTAATATTTATTAATGTATTTGCTATCGAACGCGATTCAAAATGGGTGGAAAGCCTGACAAATTGTAGGGCTGGCAGCGCTGCCACGTTGAGGCCGCGCGGTACTGATGCCACTTCCGCAAAAAATGGTGACGTCACACTGGCATTTCGTATGCTAGGAGCGCACATACAGTCAGTCCAGCTGTGTCTCTGAAGGCGTAGACATGCCTCTGTTGCCAGCATCGTCTTCCTCGCTGTTGGGACGGTCAACATCGGCAAGTGATGATGACAGTGACCTGGAATCGCTGCGATTCGCGACGATCCTTGCTTGACAAGCTTCGCGTTAAATGCAATGTATTTATCAGCCCCGGCCGTGCTGTCGGAGCTCAGGAACACCAACTGCACACCTGACGTCCCGGACATTTGGCGAGTGAATTGCTGCTTTCAGCTGCAGCAAGGCGCATGGTAAGAATAGCCCCAGCCTCGAGAAGAGGCCTCGTACTGCCAGTGAAACCCAACTGGTTCGCCAACATAGAATTTACCCTGTAGCAGCTCGCCAGCTCGCTGCAAAGTGAAGGGAGCAAATGCGGGCTGTTCTTCACAGTCGTCCAGTCCCTCTGTCCATTGGCGCGGCGCGTATGAAGTCAACCCACGTGGCTGCGTTGAGGTTCGTGGCTGAAAAGGCATGAAACGCCACGCACTTTCCGCTTTTTCCGCGCCTCGACGTGCAGGTTCTCACTACGCTGCGGTTCCTCGACATTCTGGCGCGTGTTGTCGCTCTGAATGATTGTACTCGCACGCCGTGGAGCACAACGCAAATAAGTCGATGCGACCCGATGAATCGCACGCACGCTTCAACTCAGCAAGGAGAGCCACTAGTGAGAGCATGACCGGGAGTTAGCTCCAAATACACTCAAAGATCGTCGACGTCATCCTTACTACCGTATCGTCACTCAGGATGGTATTTGTGGAATGCATCACACTGAACACGTAGCACTAGTGTCGATGTCGCAGGGCAGTCTATTTTTTGTTTTTTCTTCTTAGCTTTTATACGCTGTTTGACGTTGAAATATAATAACTTTGACGCGACAGACGCTATTGAAATTTGGCCAAGAAGACCTATGCATACCAAGTGATCGAATGATGTGCACATCTCGATCTTGAAATTTGATGTCAGTGCTCCTTTAAGTAAAAGGTCTCCTCTGCTGCGCTTGCATAGCTGCTGACATTTGTGCAAAATTTTAGAGTGACTCTGTTTATGTGTGAGATTTACACGACCCTGGGGCGCAATGTGCTGGTGCCGGCTCTAAGGCTTCTCTTCACAACAAAAAGGCCGCTGAAGCACATCTCGGCTTATACTACATAGCAGCATGAGACATTTTTGGGCTGCTTTTATTTTCATTTTTTTGATACCATCTGCAAAAATATAATTGTATATAAATGCTTACATGCATATATTCGGACGCCAACCTAAGTGGATAGAGGTAACTGATTAAAAGAGGTGACACCGGACAAACTGGTAAAGTTCTTTCAACATCTGGTTTATGTAGGGATTGTTTACATTGCGAGCATAGAATTATAGTGCAACATTGGCAAGCTCTCGTCGTAAAAAAAAAAAATTCTGCAAATACTCCACGAGTCAACCAGTGTCTTGTGGAAACCAGGAAAAGCTTTGCCGCATGGCATGTGCTATGAAGCGGTACCTCGATTCAGATTCTTTAGTATGCATTGATAGGAACATTGTGTAGAAGAGGTACTTTTTCTGCTATTCCTGAGTCATGTATCTCCAAAATGTATATTCTGAATTTTCTTTTTTCTGAATGGTTTTGCGTACATGAAATTTTTTATTGCTCTGTTTATTAGCTCGCAGCAATATTACACCCTTTCAAATTTTTATACAGTCCACATTATTTTTGTTGCTTTACAAATTATAATTTTTGAAAAAAGCATTTCATTATTAGTAATTTGGTATGTAGAACTGTGTGCTGGAGTGCTTTTTAAACTGGCAAAAACTTTGTTTTCGACTCATGAAAAATTACTATTTTCTCGTGGTAAGGAAAGAGTTGAAGGTATACTGAACAAAATTTTCGCGGCCAAGATTTTCAACCAAATTGAAAGATTGGGTCCTGAAATCTATAGCGACAACTCTCATTCCAGGTAGAAACTACAGGAAAATGATTAAATTAATGCGTTTTTCACACACTGCCGCTTCTAGCAGCCGCTTCAGGAACTACAGGAGGTGACGTTTGGTGGCATCAAACTCACCCAAAACGGGCAAGCCAACAATACCATCCTTTGCTTGCGTCTCTCGACTCGCTAATTTCTCCCTCTAGTTCCCAGAACCATTGTGAACAGCACTGGTTGCAAACAATGCTCCCGGCTGAGGCAAAGCATCAGTGCTTTTGTGGAAGGGGGAGAGTGAAATAAAAGGAGGGGTGGATTAATTGAGCACAGGAACTCGTGCACCTTGGCGGATCTGACGTCACAACTCCCATTAGCGTAAGGCCGCCGCACGCTGACAAACAATCAAAAATACAGCCAACAGTTCAAGAATATTCAACTCTGTTTACCAGAACAGTTGTATTTTCCGAGGAGAATTACGAAGTTTCATCAGTTTTTCCAATTTTTGTTCAGTATCCCTTTGAAGGGGCACTGACACAAAATTTTGTGGCCGAGATAGCCTGCGGGATTGATTCCCATGAACATGCATATATTATCTGCAAAATATCAACAGTAAATGTAGCTTGGAAGGTATTTTAAATCAATTTTGAAGTTTGCATGAGCGATTAACTCCATTTTGCCATTGACACCTTCAAAGGGAACCCTTGAGGACCCCAACAATTCCCTTACATGACCTTGCTGCAACAAGTTATGGCAACATGATAGCCATTTTTCTTTGGTCACGTTTGCTACAGCAGACTACACTGCTCGCAAATCCGTGGCTGCGGCGCATAAGTAGAAAATTTTGTGTTTTATAACATTGCTGTCTCGTTTCCTGTTAGAAAAATCTTGATGCGAGCTGCATAGAAGTGCATCATAGTTCGGTGTGCTCACATGGCCGAGCATTGCACCCGCTAGGTGGGGATAGTTGCACCCGGTGGCTTGTCGTTTTTAGAACCAAAACCGACACTGGTTGTTAATAACGAGTCTGTAATTAACTATAAGTCATGTGCTGCAGAACACGATGTGTCATGTTATGATTAACAGACCGCCAGGAACACATTACAGCAAAAAACACGAGGCCAAAATTTTTGTGTCAGTGCCCCTTTAAAATGCTTATCAAGATTCTCTAGCAGTTTTCCAGCTTATAAGCATGATTTCCAGAATGTTTTTGCTGCAGACGAAGAAAATTTGCTATTGCGTTCATCTCATGTGCACATGTTAACATGCCTGATTGTTCTGTAAGTCACTGTAGCATGCCAAACAATTGCAAGGTCACCTTGATTCTCTCACCGTGAAAGGTGGCTCCTGAGCAGTATTTGAACACCATCTTTCAAAATATAAACTTCTCTGCTGACATAAGCAGAAGAAAACCGAAATGACACTGCATTATGGTACCTGAAGAGCTACTGAATAAATATGTCATTGTAATCTCACATGTCTTATGACTATATTGTGGTTTTGCCTTGTAAAATCCAATGAATTTCCATAAAACTTCATAAATTTCCATAAAACATTATTTATTGGTGTTCTGTTAGTGTATACTGTAATGTTTCTGTCATTCATCGAGCACATATAGAGCTCTGTAGTCCCACTGGGCTTGCGGATTCTTTGAGAGGTTTGTAGCCCCTCTGGTGCAGTACTGTCTTGCTGTCGTGCTGGTTATTCACTATTTGTAGGTGATAGGGGAAAGGAAAGTTGAGTGAAGCGAATTCTGCACCACTTGTGCAGGATTTGCAGGACTGTAGCGAGTGCACTGTTTTAATAAGTAGCTGGTGTGCATGCAGAATGTGTCATGTCTCTAGCAAATTTTCTAAACACGAAAACTCTAAAGAAACATATGAAAGAACTCTTGAAGTAAATGTGGCTCCCTTAGAGCTTCTGAGAAGTGATGTGCTGTCGGTGCATGCTTATGGCTTACAGATGTGGGCTAGTTGTTTTGTCATGATGGGTGATAACAGTGCATTTGAAGCACAAGAACAAAATACATAGAGATTAGTCTGGCACTTGAATACAACTATGAATTTATTACTAGGAAATACATACTGATCAAAATTGTTAAGGTTTTAAGTCCTAATACCATGGTATGATTATGAGAGATGCCGTACTGGAGAGCTCCGGAAATGAACAATCGGGTGGTTTTTAATGGGCACCTAAATCTAAGCACACAGGCTTTTAGAATTCTGCCTCCTTTGGAATGAAGTTGCAAGACGGCGGAAATTTGATCCTGCGACCTTTGGTTCAGCAGTGGAGCATCATAACCACTAGGCCAACATAGCGGGCCCTCCCTCTCTCACACACATGCACACACACGCATGCGCACACACTCTTTCTCTCTCGCACACTCATACACAGACAATAATGCCAGGGAAAGTATAGAGGATGGTATTGGAAGTAATTGCAATGTAAATGTGAAGCAATAAAAGTAGACGAAAAGATAACAGGCAGGTTATCTTTTTGTTCGTTTTTCTTTCTTCACATTTCCATTACAGTTATTTTAATACCATCCCCTATACTTTCCCTGGCAGTATTGTCTGTTTTCATGAATATTGTGTCTAATAAAGTAAACAAGCCCTTAAATTTACACTTTCCTACACAGACACAAAAATATATAACAGGCCACTCAGGAATCTTTAACCAAGGGTTAATAAATACCAAAATTGGGCACACTACTCACAGTTTTTTGTATTGTACTTAATTTGTTCCTTAGGAATATTTAAGTGAATCGCAAAACATCGATTTTAAGCAAGAAATGGAATTTGCAAAGTTCTAGAGCGTCTTCAGATACCCCCATTCCATTATATGCGGTAAAAAAAAAAGTCTCATGTGTACTTTTTTTTTTCAAGCTGCAAAGAAAGCCTGCGAAATACAAAGAAAAGAAAGGTCACCAAGAAAGACTGTCGTCTTTAAAAGACATGAATAGTGCATGCGCACGTCACAATTGTACAGCTCACAACCGTGGTTCGAGCGAACGAAATCAGCTGCAGCCACGAGTCACCAACTTCGTTGCAGCTGTAGGCTGATAAGTTGCTGGTGGTTTGTTGGCCCGCGCTCACTACTACTTGTACTATTAGGCACACTAACTAGCTGGCAACGGGCCAAGAAGCCACCACCAACTTATTGACTTGTATGATTGCCTTTAGCTAAAACCTAATGTTTTGAAAGGCTTTTTTAAAAAGTCTTTTATTATCAAAGTTGCAGCATTTTTTTTTCTTTGTTTAATCTTCCATGCAGGGTCCAGGTATGAAGTCGTTCTGGAATTCTTCGCCTATAAAGAGAAACTTCTTCGAGAACAGCTTCTGCTGCAGTCCTGCAACAACCCACAGCTCACACTGACGCTCATGCTCAATGCCAGGGTTCTTGGTAAGTGACTTTATTCTTGGAAGCATCCAATGCAGTTTTGTGCGTCAGAGCTGCACGGAATACATCATAAACAGGCGGCACCACACACATTAACACAAGACCAGCGCTGGGTGGACCTAATTTCTGGCTATTTGAAAAGAGAGAGAGAGATGGGGAGAAAAAGAAAAACGAGGTAGGGGCTTCATTCTCATCCCCAAGCGTTCATCATTTTGTCGAAGATTATCAAAATCAATTGTTTCATGTGTTGAAATTTAGTGGTTCTTGTGGTAATTAGGGGCCATGTAGAGTTGCCTTTCTTTACATCTGGCTTGTCATCTGCCATTACGTGAGGGGGGAATATGCATAGAGTGGGTCTGCACATACAGTCCTCACTAAGCTGCTATCTAGAGTTAAAGGGACACTAAAGTCAAATAACAATTTACGTCAGAGTGAAAGCTCAATGTATGACAACATCTAAAACGACAATATTACCAACAACAGTGCCCCAATTATCGAGAAATTAAAGCAAATGCACAAGAACACAAGCGCCGCAGTAGGACATTTTTAAAATGATACCGATGACATCAGACAAACCGCATACAATAGTAATCGATCTAACTACACTATATAAAGAATGTTCCGTGCATTAAGAGATGCAATAAAATGCTGTTTGTTCCTTTCTGTTGATTCATAGAAAAAAGAACTGCCAGACATTACTATGGGGAATGGCGCGAATGGTTCAAAAATTCTACTTTCGCATGGTTACATGGGACAGGTGGTGCCATCCAGCGGGGCACAGTTCAAATAAAGGCGTCTGCAATCTCAAAGCCAATGGCGGGAAATTGATCAATGGCCGTTAGAGCTGCTGTGGCTCCCGCTGCTTTCGGTCAGCTGTTACTAGCGCAGTAAAGCTGGGCAACTTGTGCATGGTAACAGTGACGTAAGACGGACCGGTCAGTCCGCTTCTTGAGGGGGGTAATTTGAAGTGCGCTAACCCGATGCGAACCACTAAAACATGATTTTATTTCAGAATAGGCCCTTCCTTGGCACAAAAGTAACACTACAAGGTTTCTGGGCTGCCATTTCAACAATCAACATCTACTTCATAGTCGACATTAGTGTCCCTTTAAGTGGTAGAACTTGGAACTTCTATTACTGAATCAATGCTTCTTTTGACTGTTACTAGTGAGCTTTGAGATATGAATGTCTTTAATGCAGTGTAAACACACTCTGCTATAAACTCAATTTTTGCCACTTGGGCACATTTTGTTATCTCAGCCCTATAGATGTGCAGGTAGCAATCGTTTTTTTTTTTTGCTTTTATTTCTATAAGCCCGTGGAATGCATCAACTTATAATGTGCAGCAATGTTCATGATGTGATATATTCACATAAGTGCAAAGAAGCCTTCAAATAATCTTAAAAGGCAAGTCATCAAAGAAAACTTTTCCCCAATGCTTAGAGGGCACTCCATCCTGTCAGGTTATTGGTATTGTTACTTGGAAAAAGAGTATTAATTAGAATTTTAGACTGATGTGTAATGTACACACACTTGCATACACACACATGATATTTCAAAAAAGATGTCTTAAAATACTCAGAAATAAGGGAGTTTGAATATTTGCTCACTGTCATCATAATTGCTTTTTTTGGCATGGCAGACATAATAAGATGACTGGAGACATCACTTAGAGCAGTTATTAAAAAAACACTAATTTTAAGCAGAGACAGGTGGTTAGGCCAATAGGCCAAATGAGAAAATTGCAGTCGTTTCTCGTTAACGTTTTAGTGATCGCACTCTAGAATTTTGATATAACAAATATAAAGACGGGTGAGAGGGGGCTGCATATAAAGCTTTGTTTCTTGAAACAGCCAAAATTCATTTGTTATATATACTACTTTTGACCTATTATTGTTTCTTCAAGAATCAGAATTCCTCATTAAAAGTTCTGTCTTTCCCATTACTAGTATTTAGTGTATAGAAGGAGGTCCCAAAGTCAGACTGTATTAGGACCCACCACGATCAGTGTACATAAAACACAAGTAGTGCACGACACAAGCGCTGCTTTTGTCGTGCGCTGCTTGTGTCGTGTCCCCACCAAGCTCGTAATCAAGTACAGTAGGCTTTCAGTAAACGGAAATTTGTTAAATGGAACTACTGCTTAAAATTTCTCAGAGCGGCATTGGCGGGGTCGTGGCTGCTCTCTTGTTTCAGTGTTTGCATGTGCTGTCTATGTAAGGCTCTAAAACAGCTCCTGAAGATACACAGTCGAGGGTATTATTCTCTCTTGGCATTTCTAGTTCTTTGAGCGCCCTTGGTGATGCCAGAACAGGGATTCGCGTGACATAATTAGGGCACATACTCTAGAGTGGTCCATATACAAAAAATATGAGTTGTAAATTGTTTTCTACCCTGCTTTGCTGTGCATTCTCCACCTGCCACCCCCGTTCTTCCTCGCCCCTCGCGGGATTATTATGCGCAATGAACTTGTGATTTCGGTGCGTTTTGCGAGTTTTCGATTGTACAAGTGGAAATAGGAAGAGTGTAACCAAGAAGTTCAAAATCCTGATAGGCTCAATGCTTAGCGCACACATTGCGCACATGATTATGAAGACATAAATGACGAAGAGCCTGTAAGAATTGTAGTAGAGAGAGTGTAGTGCAGTGTAATCGAAAACGAAACCAAACGGAAAGGCTCCGAATTATGTCGTTCTCCCAAAGGATGAATTATTCACAGCGAAGACAACCCAGCTTTCCCTAACGAGGGCCAGCCCGCTTTGACGGTTTTTGTATATTTTCTTTATTGCGAGAAAAACTACAAGGTGTTTCAAGAAATGTGTCCAATATTATTTGAAAATCACAAAAATGAGGCACCTGCGGGGCTACCTGGGGTGTTTTCTTTACTTTGGTACAAGGCATCTTCAGATGTGTACGAACATTAATTATGGCAGTAATTACAGAAATTAAGACAATGACCTTTTTAACCAGTGGAAATAGGCGATCGAGTCCAATGGGCGAATTGAAATACTTTCTACGAATAGTCCACAGCCACTTTGAAATTTTGGAAAGGCGGCCACTGATAATCACCGCAGAAACTGGTGCGATTGGCGCAGCTCTTGCACCCCTGCTCCTACCATCATGTAAGCTAGAACCACATTATTTAAAACCAATTCTATACGTTGTTCTCTTACTTTCTTTTGGCTCATGTACTACTTTGTGTTCTACTGTTGCTTTTAATCGTAAACTATCATATTTATTTATGTAAGAGATGTCCTAATAGTACACTGAAGTAAAGTAGCAAATTGGGCTAGTTGGAACATACTCATCACGATCAGTGCACAAAAAAAGCACAAAAAACACAAGGGCAGGCCACTGTCAGCGCTGAAGGTTGCTCTAGAAAGCACTCTTAGGTGTTTCACTGACTGTGCGAGTGGAGTGGTGTACTCCATGCTTTTGTCATGCGGGGGCACGTACATTGAGCAGACGAGACGTTGCCTTAATGTCCGTCTAAGGGAGCACGCTAGCTCCCTAAAAGGTACACCACCTACGCATCTTGCCCTCCATTGTCGGCAGTGCGGCTGCGCAACTTAAACAAAACTGCTGTTGTGATGAAGCATAGAGACCAGCGCATGGGTGAAATAGCGGAAGCGTATGAAATCATAAAAGCAAGAGACAGGTGCGTGAGCCAGCTTTCAATTGCTCTTACTGGTGCTGAGATTTTCTATCTACAGCATACAGTATACCTTCATTAAACAAGACCTGAAGGGACCGGGAAATAATGTTTCATTTAACAGGAGTTCTGTTTACTGAGAGGTGAACATGGGTGCAGAATACAAGCCTGAAAACAAGCACTGCAGAGGGAATGGTTCTGTGTACCATTCCCTCTGCAGGTGAACCATGTGTACCATTCTTTCTGCAGAAAAGCAGGTGAACTGATGTATTTTATGCCAAGATTCCGCACCCGGGTAAAAATAAGACAAACGGCAGCGCGGCGCAAAATATTGTGTAGCGGCGGCATGGTCTCTCTCGGAACTGTGGCGGCGGCGCGAACGGCTTGAGCAAGAACGAGCGGCGGCAGCGGTAGTGCACAGTTCTACTAACAAGTATGCTGCAAAAAACAATTTTTAAACAGAGGCTTTTAGTCAACCTTTTTCTCTGTCAAACTCCGCGCAAAAGCCTCTTCTCGAGCATTAGGTATTGCTGAATGCAAGCCAACCAACAAATATTTCAATGTCTGCTGTTAAGATGAGGAGGAAAATTAAACTTTAAAAAAATCAACGTAGGCCTTGCTGATCGACACGGCAAAACATTAGAAATTAAAACCATTCGAAAAAAAAAAAAACTGGACACAAGAGGAATCCTTTGTATTCTTTCTTACTGGGCTTCACTTTATGCGGCACCCTTTTAGATGTGCTCTCAGAAAACGCGCATACCACAGTTTTCGAGGTGCCAATTTTTGAGGGAGAGACAAAGACCTGCCCAAAACCACCGAAACACTCAGTGGCGGTGACCTTTGTTCTGAGGCTCCAAACTTGGACAAAGAAGCACACGGACGCTTTAGCTTCCTCGTTGTGGGCTTCTCAGAACAGTGGTCAGCCCTTCGCAAAGGTGGGGGATGACTTTTGTCGTTAGGGTCGCGTACGCGCCATTTCGCTTTGCTTCTTCGTCTAACCTGCACTGAGGGCGTTGAGACCCGGCGGCCCATTCGGCGTTTCAATTTCTTGACCTTTGCTACACACTTACGCCTAATCTCGATTCCAGCCAGACCCTCACCTTTTGACTGCCAGCGCTTTTTCTCGGGACTTCCGGCCCCCACTCGAGACAGCCTTGACCTTTCGCGTTCCCTCTACGTTTTCGCCGGCGCTTTTTTCTTTCGGGGTGGCACAAAACGCTCACCAACTCGGCAATAATATTCGGAAGTACACTGCTCAAAGCTCCAGGCAGCTCAACTGATTTATTTTCGGCATTATTTCTAGCTGTATGCTTTTTAACCAATGCTACAATCGACGCTTTCTAAACCA